CAAATGATTAAAATAAAAACGTTACACTTAGGCGTCGGGCAATGGTTAGCAAGCTTGCTTCAATCAATCAGTTATTATTGACTAATGTATTTGATCCCCACTGGGTGCTACATAAATTGGCCTTGTTTCATATCAAACCTACGCTTAATAAATTAATATAAAATATTTTGTCCCTATCTGCTATCAGATTTATTTCTTGATTAAAAAATTAAAGGCGAATATAATGAAATTGTGATAATTCCATAACCTTTAATACTTATCATAAACACAAATATTTACCTATCGTCGAACCAAGTAAATGGTATATAGAGATTTTCCAAGCGTAGCTTAGATGTGGCACAAGGCCGAAAGTAGGAGGTACCCAGTGAGGATCGAACTCACTACTCAATCGTAATTGCTCTAGCATCTCGAGGTGTCCAAGTAAATAGTATATAGACTCATAGAATCGACCTCTATTTACATTTCCCATATGTAGGTAAATATTTACCGATCAAATGTAATAATAAATCAAGAGTTGGCCTGTTTTAATCTTCTTAAAACAAACAGTTGAAATAGCTAGGTATAAGTTATTGTTTAATTGGTTCTCCTCTCTCTTCGATCTTCTTGCTTTCTTGTCAACTCCATATCTTCAAATATTAAAATGCAACGTCACTCGCCATTTTTCTCTCCTGTGATTTGTCTTTTCTCCTAAGTAAACTTTTTATCAGTTTCCTTCACTCTCATAGTAGATTTATCGCCTTCCTTAAAATGATCAAAAAATCTGAATAAACGTTCGAATGATTTAAAAAAAAATAAACATGACTTTGAATTTAGAAATTCCTCTACTTTTTTATATTCGTTTGTATGAATCAATGAAATGTTTTTTTTTTGTTTTTTTTTATTTGCTAATTCTTTTACTCGAAATAATATATTTTACCAAAATGAATATTGGTGCACGGTCTTGAATTCGATATATATTATTAAAATCTTTCTCTTAAGAGTGAGGAACCATTAAGTACATTAGTGCCATGATTTCAATAACTTTTGAATAATTTTCATTGAGCTTTGTACAACGAAGTGCACACGGTTCAGAGATCCACTGTGGAAGGTTTTTCTTTCGAAATTCCAGCTGAATAGGTTTTATAAATAATTCATATTTAAAATAAACATAAGATTTTAGCGCCATTAGCAAAAAGCCTACTAGTAATCTGGTGTCCACTGCCTGCGTGGAGATATGCTTTTTTATTTGCAATATGCTGTTTCGCTCGGGTGCAAACCCTCCTGGGTGTAAGAGGTTGGAATCCTTAAAATACTTTTGTTGATTACGTGACTTGTTCTTGTTTCAACATTTATATTGAAACTTGATTTCTTGATATTTAAAAAAAAACAATCATTTCAACCCAAGCAAGGCAATAAAGCCACTAAGACGCAAGAATGAGAAAAATATACGCTTAAGAGGAGAGAGCAATAAAGTGAACAAATATTAAGAGGATAGAATATAACGATTGACATTGATCGTCGGAGAATTCAATGCATAATAGATTGCGAAGCAAGAATCAGGAAGCGATAACTGAGACAGAGGAAACGGTTATCATACAAATTAGGGTTATATCGATCCATTTCGACTGTAAAATGACGAAACCTTGTCGGTAAATCTAGTTCTACACTTAAATTCATAAATTCTAGGTACCATAGAGAAAATACATTAAACAGTTAAACTGTTTCGAAATTCCAGCTGAATAGATTTTATAAATAATTCGCTTGAGTAGATTACATATTGGAAATAAACCTTTATAAGATTATAGCGCCATTAGCAAAAAGCCCAGTAGTAATCTTCCGTCCACTGCCTGCGTAGATATATGTTTTACTTATTTGCGGTACGCTGTCTCGCTCGGGTGTAAACCCTCCTGGGTGTAAGAGGTTGGAATTGTTGAAATCTTTTTGTTGAATATCTGACTTGAACTTTATTCAACAATCGTAATGAAACTTGAATTTATATATTTTTTTTAAATCAGTTCAACCAAAGCAAGGCAATAAAGCCACTAAGACGCAAGAATGAAAACGTATACCATTAAGGGGAGAGGACAATAAAGGGGACAAAGATTAAGAGGAAAGAAGATAACGATTTAGATTGATCGTCACAGAGTTGAATGCAAAGTTGATTGAGATGCAAAAATCCGCACAAGAGTTTCCCAAGCGAGACGTGAGATAGAGGAAATTGTTAGCATAGAACTTACGGTTATATTGGGCCATTTCAACTGTAAAATAATGAAACCTTGTCGCCAATCTAGTTCTAGACTTAAATTTATAAATTCTAGGTGCCATAGAGGAAATACATTAGAACAATTATCATGATAATATGTGCAGAAAAAAAAACACATGAAAGATTCGTTACGGTGGCAGGAAAATGACTGAAGTCGAGAAGCCAGTTCAGCAACATCAGATCCTTTTTCCGGTTTTTATCAAGAATCTCTAAATATACCGAAACTGTTAAATGTAGCCGTCTCTTCTACTCCAATAGCTTCATATCTCCCACTTCTCGCCTTTGGAACTCCCTCTCCTTTTCTTGTTTCTCTGATAGCTATAATCTCCAACTATTCAAATGTAATGTCAACCGACGTCTCCAGATACCTTGATCTATCCCCTATCCTTCTCTTCATCCTTTCCTCTATCACTCCTCTTTGCTCTCGCTCCAACTCTCTGTAACCTCTTGCTTGCTAGTGGCTTCACGCCTTGTTTGAGGTGAAACGCTTATAAATAAATACCGCAAGAGTACCTGACCAGATTTGGCAGAAATATTCAAAACAAGGACGAATGGTCGACTTATAAATAAGGTAGATTCTAGAGAGAAAAATTGTGTAGCTTCGATACAGTGAACCAACCTTTTTAGCTACAAAATTAGAAATTGATTCAATCTATTGTTCCAACTTCATGACAGCAGAAAACGTTACTCCGAGAAGCATTTTATTTCAAGTATCCACACACTTTCTTGTATAAATCATTCATGTTTTACTTCAAAGTTTTATGTTCAATGTTTGCTTACATTATTCGTGATGAATTTTAATTTTAGGGGTTCCTTTGTGTCCAAGATTTT